GTGTTCAACATGTAAGAAGTAGAAAGTACAGGTATTTGTGTTCAACATGTAAGAAGTAGAAAGTACAGGTATTTGGGTTCAACATGTAAGAAGTAGAAAGTACAGGTATTTGAGTTCAACATGTAAGAAGTAGAAAGTACAGGTATTTGAGTTCAACATGTAAGAAGTAGAAAGTACAGGTATTTGTGTTCAACATGTGAGAAGTAGAAAGTACAGGTATTTGAGTTTAACATGTAAGAAGTAGAAAGTACAGGTATTTGAGTTCAACATGTAAGAAGTAGAAAGTACAGGTATTTGAGTTCAACATGTAAGAAGTAGAAAGTACAGGTATTTGGGTTCAACATGTAAGAAGTAGAAAGTACAGGTATTTGTGTTCAACATGTAAGAAGTAGAAAGTACAGGTATTTGTGTTCAACATGTAAGAAGTAGAAAGTACAGGTATTTGTGTTCAACATGTAAGAAGTAGAAAGTACAGGTATGTGTGTTCAACATGTAAGAAGTAGAAAGTACAGGTATTTGAGTTCAACATGTAAGAAGTAGAAAGTACAGGTATTTGTGTTCAACATGTAAGAAGTAGAAAGTACAGGTATTTGAGTTCAACATGTAAGAAGTAGAAAGTACAGGTATTTGGGTTCAAAATGTAAGAAGTAAAAGACAAAAGTGGTCAGAAAAATAAGTAGTGGAGTAAAGTACTGATACCAGAAAAATGCACTTAAGTACAGAAACAAAGTATTTGTACTCAAATACTTCCCACCTCTGCTAATTGTTATCAATGTGTTTTCACCTCTGCCGCTGCGCCCTATGAAGCGCAGGTCAGTGAAGTGGGCGTGTCCCTGCTTCATGGTTGCCGTGGCGTTACGTAGCTCCGCCCTGCTGTTGTCATCATTCCCGGCCATCACCACGACAACAACACCGTCAGGAACGTCGTTTCCCAGGGCAACCACCTGTAGTCCGGAGACACACAGGATTACTTTCTGACAAAAGGTTTAAAAACTACAGAAATATTACAAATTATGTTATGTATTTTAGGGGGGGGGTTTCTTTAGCTAAAGCTTGAATAAAACTGCAGCGAAATTCAAAGCATGCCAGAAAAGGAGGAAATAAGTCCTTCTATTAGTTGTATTTAATTGTACCCCTCTCGAAGCTTTCTAGGGCAATATAACAATGTTTTATTTAGCATTATCCCTCCTCATCTATTTAAGTAACACTTGCATTGTTTTTGTCGAAATTACTATGACTATATTTATATATATAAATAATTGTCCTTTTATGAGGTTTTTTTATGTTATTCACTCGTTTTTTGTTTGTTTTAAACTATGGGGACTAGATCCAGACGTCTATGTCTATGAGCTAGGAGCCAGTTGAAGAGGACTAAAAACCATTTTCAGAGATCTAGTGACTACTTGAAGAGTTAAAAGGTAGTTGCAGAAGTCTTTAGGACAATTTGCTGAAATCCTGGAGTGGAGTGCACCAGCTGGGCGTAAGACTGGGCGTAACTCTACGTCCGACGTAGAACTGAAGGTTAAGACCAAACTAAAGCTATGACTAGTGCACCACTTAGAATTAAGCCCTGTATGCGTTGCGTGTAACTTTTACGCCTAGTACGGAGCAGGCGTAAATCGGAAAGACAGACTAGTATCCATAGTAACGTAAAACAGGCAAGAAAGAAAATAACGATGGCAGTGCGTCTTGTTTACAGGTTTAACAACGAAAGAGTCGTCCGTGATCGAACAAACCCACTGGACATCTATTCAGTGAGCTGATAGAGAGGTTTCGTTTCGGCAGACAAGCCCTTTTTGAATTAATCGAGGAGATCTCCCTTCAACTCCAGCGCGGATCAGACAGAAACGCTCTCCCCAACCTTGCAGGTGCTGATTGCGCTAAGATTTTACGCTAACGGGGGCTTTGAATGGAGAAGTTTGAGTGTTAAATTATGTAGACGTGTGTTGCTTGGCAACAATGACTGTTTTGCGTGTATTGACGTGGACGCGCATTTTTTGTCAGGCTTGGTGCACTCTGTGTTAATTCGAATCCCTAAGTAGGATGTAGCTAAGCCCGACGTTAGAGTTAAGACCTACTTTTTTACGCCCAGCTGGTGCACTCCAGGCACTAGTTGTAGAGAACTGGGGACTAGTTGGAGAAGTCTTTAGGACTAGCTGCAGAGGACTGGGGACTATAGTTGCAGAGATGTAGAGACTAGTTGCAGAAGTCTTTGGGACCAGTAGCAAAGATATAGGGAATCTTTGCAGACATTTCAGGGCCAGTTGCAGAGATCCAGGGACCAACTGGTTCAAGAGGTCTTTGAGAGTAGTTGTAGAGACCTAGACTTGTCAGAGATTCATTTCTGTGCTTTTTCACTTGAACCTTGACTCATAATAAACCTGTAAACTGTGCCTTGGCTGTGCCCTGAATTAAACTGTATATTATATATAAGAGTGTTCCTCACGCTGAAGACCCTGGGCAGGCTCTTGTTGCTCCTCCAGTGCTGCGGCAGGCTGCTGCACAGGAAGTTAGGGCTGTCGGTCTGAACCAGGCCTCTAAGGGGCACTGTGCCGCGGAGGGGTATCCCGTCATGGTTCTCCTGCAGGCCTCTAGGGGGTGCTGTGCCGCGGAGGGATATCACATCATGGTCCTCCTGCAGGCCTCTAGGGGGCGCTGTGCCGCGGAGGGACATCATTTCATGGTCCTCCTGCAGGCCTCTAGGGGGCGCTGTGCCGCGGAGGAATATCACATCATGATCCTCCTGCAGGCCTCTAGGGGGCGCTGCGCCGCGGAGGGATATCACATTTTGGTCCTCTGGTGGTGATGGCCTCCTCTTCACTGCAGGATCTGAGAAAGACAGAAATATTTGAATACTTTTGTTTTTATATTTTTATAATACAATATCTGTTTTCTTTTCGCTTTCTTTTCTTATTACTGCAGAATTTTATTCCATTTCAAAGTAAATACTCTTAAAATAGTTCTCTATCTGTGTTTTTAATGTTTGTTTCACTTTCATTTATGCACCACGACATCAAGTCAAATTCCTCATACGTGTCAACCCACCTGGTGATAAACCTGATTCTGATTCATTACTGCACAGGTTTTCCTTTAATGTGTTTTGTTGTTATTTGAAATGTCAAAATGCATGGGACTAGTTGAAGAGGACTAGTTGAAGAGGACTAGTTGCAGAAGTCTTTGGGACTAGTTGAAGAGGACTAGGGACCAATTGCAGATGTCTTTGGGACTAGTTGAAGAGGACTGGTTTAAGAGGACTAGTTGCAGAAGTATTTGGGACTAGTTGAAGAGGACTAGTTGAAGAGGACTATAGTTGCAGAACTCTTTAGGACTAGTTGCTTAAATCCAGGGACTAGTTGTATAGAACTAGTGACTAGTTGTATAGAACTAGTGACTAGTTGCAGAGGACTGGGGACTAGTTGCAGAGGACTGGGGACTAGTTGCAGAGATTTGTTTCTGTGCTTTTTCACTTGAACCTTGACTCACAATAAACCTGTAATCTGTGTCTTGGCATGATTAAACCCCTGAACCCCAAATGTATTTGTTCAAAGAGGAAATTGTTGAAGATGCTGAAGACGTTTTAGAATGAAAATAAATACATAATAATAATAATAATAATAATAATAATAATAATAATAATAATAATAATACAAAGGTTGATATGAATAACGAGAGGTTAAAATAACATCTTTAACATTGTACTACAATATATAACAAAAATACAACGGTTGATATTTCTTTATAATATTACTGTAAATCAAAATCAGAATTACAAATAATCTGTTGACTTGGATTTTGTGACAATTGCTCCATTTAAAATACATAAATATAATAAAAATATTTATAAAACATATTGTAGTTAGAGTTTATCTGTGTACATTGAACTACAATGTATACAAACAATTAATATGAAGTAGTTCAATATTTAAATATACAATGTTATAGTACAAAGATAAGAGCGAACTAAGTGCTAAATTGTTTACTTAAATTAATATTCACTCACTCACTCACTCACACACGCGCGCACACACGCATGCACACACACACACGCACACACACACACACACACACACACACACACACACACAGCCTCTACACTTGATAATAACATTTCCACACACTATAAAGCATTTTAATGTGCTTGTTATTTTCACATATTAAAACAATTAAGAAGATATATGAGTGACGGCAATCTAACCGCTTTGTTAAAAAAAAGTGCTAAAAACTACATCTCCCAGAATCCCCGCTGCAGCACTTGGTTCCTGCATCGTCATCAAATCGCGCCGAAATCAAACACATCGTAAAACGTAAACAGGAGAAGAAACAACGTTTAGAAACGAGTTTTGGTGGGAATTTAAAGGTATTTAAACTACATTTAAAACCATTTGTATATATTCTTCCTCCCCCATGTCTCCCCCCTCTGTCTCTGCCTCTCTTTGTGTTTTATCACCGCAGGTTTGAACAGGAGGGAAACGCGACGCTTTATTATTCACATTACTGCAAAAAAACACTCGTATTTCCCCATTAATTGCCAGGTTTAGCCTTTTTAATTCAGTTTAACACGGTCTGTGTAAACGATGTTATTCTGTAACTGTTCTGAGAATCAAAAGGTGGTTTTTATGGAAATTTTTAGGCAAAAATAAGTAAAGTTTCAACTTCACAATTATAATTTTTTACGTTTTTCTTAAAATAACATTGGATTTAAATGTATAATACAATTATAAAAATCTATAAAACAAGTAATTAACGTAATATAAAAAAATAAATACAAATAATGTAATAAAGCAAATAAAAATGATTGTGAATAAAATGAATGAAACATTTTAAATATGACATGTTTAGTTTGTTCCAACGCTCATTTGCAGTGAAACAAATCTAAAATATACTGTAGAGTTTATCGACGACTAGAGGACGTTTAGAAACTATTTTTAGATCTCTTTCCTCCTCATTTTCTCTCTTTGTGTTTCACGCACCGCAGGTTTGAATAGGAGGGAAGCTGCTCTTTATTATTCAGATCTACTGCCGGGGGACTGTGGTCACACCTGTGTGTGTGTGTGTGTGTGTGTGTGTGTGTTTGTGTGTGTTCTGCTATGTTGTTATTTTAGTTCTGCAGGCCGTTTTGTTTTGGTTAAATGATCCATACAAGTACATTACAGACTACATTTAGATCAGTGTCTATTGTTTACACGGTGTAAAGTAACTAAGTATATTTACTCAAGTACAATTTCAGGTACTTGTACTTTACTTGAGTATTTCCATGTTCTGCTACTGTGTACTTTTCCTCCACTACATGTATTTAATACCTTTAGTTACTTCACAGATGTGGATGAA